TGGTTCTAGTGGATTGCAGGAAAGTTTGTGAAATAGAGTTTTGTTGGAATAAGGGGCCATAGCTGTACCTCATAAATGAGCCACATCAAACAAAACAGGTGCTCATAACCTATTGAGCTTGGCATAATTCTCTTTTCAGTTTTAGACTTGGGTAAAAACTGTTTACAAGTTCTCAACACGAAACGTGACATCATAACATTTTATAACATCACCGTGGCCACCCCGGGAATTGAGACACGGATTGTCATTTTGGGTGTCGAGTAGGACAGCACTTCCTGTACAATAGCAGAACAAACACAGAGAGGGCCGACTGTGTTCTCCCTGTGGAGACACGGACGTTGTGCATCATGTAGATGAGTTCCCTAGCACGGGCAGGTGTTTGTGCAGGAGATTTCCATTTGCACTCCGATGAACTCAAAGCTGGTAGAAAGATGTCAGTGAAGTTAAAATTATGTGTTCTCTCTGGGGAACTGTCATAGTGCTTTCTGGAAAACAAACCTGTGAGCAGAACATATCCTGACATGTTCTGTAAAACAAATTCAAGCATGTAACAAGCATGTGACTCGTCAAGAGGCCAGATTTCAGATTCAACTTGGCAGAGTAAGTGGGATGCTGTGGTCGTGGCTGTGTTCATTTCTACTCTCCAGCTTTTGCTTTGTCATAATCGTTCCTCCAAGCAATGAGAACATTATTTTTCTATAAAGAAACAGCACACCAGGTTCACATTATCAGACATGATGTTCTCTGAATTTCAACAATGTGACTCCCATAATTCCCCATGGGATGGATAGAACTAGACCCAAATTTCAGGTGGAGGAATGATCAATAAGCATAAAGGAAAGTTTGTGTTTTGCTTCCCCGGGTCACAGCAGCACAGCGTGGCCCAGCGGATGCTTTAGAAAGCAGGTGGTGTCCTCAGCCACAGTTGTTCTGCTTTTATCTTCCATGCAATGCAGGAGAAAGAGACTTTCTGACACCAGAAGAAGAACAGAAACTAGTCCAGGTGACTTTTCCACTGTGGGGACAAAATTAGTGAACTTTGCGAATTACAGTCATTGTAGCACAGTGAGTGCAGGGTGAATAAAGAACTCGAATGTGTGGAGGAATTTGAGAAGTCTAGAGGAGCGTGTAGAGTGGCCATAGAGCATAAGTTTCCACCCAAATGTCACTTGGTTTTTGACATCAATACAGACATTGGAAACTTTTCTGGAGGTGCTGTCACAGGGCCATGAAAAACTAAGAGTTTCCCGCGACTGCAAACTGCTCCCTGTAGAAGCCGCATGTGAGCCCCCCCCCCCGAGGCCTGGGAGGGGACCTGTGTTAGAAATCCTCTGGACTCCACTCCCCACCCACACCCTGGGCTTTTCATCCCCTTTCTCGTGAGGATCAGCCCAGGACTCTCGCCACAGCTACAATTTAACAATTTTTTTTTTTCTTTTGCAACCTCACAGGTGAAAACCAGGCAGGAGGATTTGCATTATCATAATCTCAGAGATATCTCAGTGGTGACTATGAAGATCCAATGGCCTCCTCTTTGCAATTATATTTTCTTCTTCCCCATGAAGCCACTTCGCATGGTGTTCCTCTCCCCCTGGATCTGCAGGCTGCTGGACTTTTCTGAGTTCTGATTGATTAAATAAATAGGCATACTTTGTACATAAGCTTCTCTCTGAAGATAATTACTAAATATGTCATGTCCAATTATTTTTTAAAAAGCTGGTTCTGCAATAGAACAGGGGATGACACTTTTTAAGGGCAACTGTAGAATTCCTGGGTGTGTTGTGAGTAGAGTAGAAAGTGTGCAATACATCATGCAGGGTTCGCCCTTCCAGGTTGCAATGAGAACTTGGGCAGGGTGTCTGAATGCAGGCAAAAAAGCCACAAGAGAGGCTTTTAAAACAGTGTGAAAGTGAGAGACACGAGGAGACAGTGCTTTTTGCAGTGATATTAGAAGACATCGCAATCATTTCAAGTTACTGCCGCCAAAAATAAAAGTGAATCATGAAAATGAACAAAACACAACAACAATCCCAGGGCATCAGATTCTAGCTATGTTAATGTGTATGAACTAAAAGGTCAGATTTATCTGCAATAAAAAAGTATGGCCAAATACAGAATGAGAAAGACTTATAGGAAACCAAAACCTACTGAAATGAGCAGACACTTACGAGAAGGAGAGATGCAAATGGCCAATGGCCGATGATACCTGAAGCAACATTCCATATTACTGGCCGCTAGAGAAATGGGAATTAATAGTGCTATTAGGTCATCTCATCCTGGAATGAATGGGTATCATCAAACCATCTAATAGGAACAAATGATGTCAGGGATGTCAGGAAAAGGGAGTTTTTCTACACTGCTGGTGGGAATGGAACCCATACAATCACCATGGAGATCAGGAAGGAGAGGCACCAAAGCACTACAAACCGAAACTCCATTTCACCCATGCAGCCTCCTTTCAAGGTATCTTCTCCCAAGACTTCAAATAATCATGCGCATGGACAGATGCACATCCGTGCTTGTAGCAGACCAGTGTACACCAGCTGGATGTGGGGAACAGCATGACAGACATCCATAATCGGATGGATGGGTGAGGAAAGTTAGGCATTTATACACAGTTGAGCACTACAGTACCGTCGATGAAGCTAAACCTGAGGTATGTGTGGGTAAATGGATGCAATATGAAAACATACTTCTAGGTAAAATAAACCACACAGAAATTTCTATGTCGTGTAATTTCTCGTTTAGAAACTCAAACACAAACAAATGTAGTGCAGAAAAAAGAAGATGAATTATTATACAGGTTTAATGTAGCTCTAATCTCGATAGTAGTAGCTAACCTCACAGGACTAGGGAAAACAATCCTACAGTTGATTTTTTTGGGATACTGATTTTGGATCCTGTTATGCTATTGAATTTGTTCACTAGATACAAACATCTTCTGATTGAGTTTTCCGGATCTCTGATGTTGAGCACCATGTTACCTGCAAGCAATTATAGTTTCACTTCTTCCTTTCCCATCCTTTTTTTCTTTTATTTCTTTCTCTTGTCTAATTGTCCTGGTTCATGTTTCTGGAGACATTTCTGAAATAGTTCTGGAAGAACAGTGCTTGGAAGAAATTCACTGTTGTGTTTTATTTTTTTTTCTAAGCTATAGACATGTTGGCATTGTCTCTAATTTTACTAATTTTATTTGCTACTCCTAATTACTAACTGTACGTCTGCATGCTCACTGACTTTACCAAGAATATCTTTATCTGTGTGTGATTTTCTGCCTGGTTGCTTCACTCAGCCTGCTTGCTATGATTCCTTGTATTGTTGCATTTAACCCTGTGGGTTCCCATTTGCTACAGAGTAGCTGTGCTTGAATATAATAACTTTTATATTCTGTTGTGACCACCTTCAAGTTTGGAACTGTTCAAAAACTTGACCATTCCTGACCATTTTGACTTTTCACAGAGACAGAATTTCCATGGTGCCAGATCCAGTGAGTAAGGAGGATGAGAACACAGCCTTGTGTTTTTAATTTAGCTTAAACATTTGATATAATTTAAAGATTCGCTGTGCTATTTGATCACACTTCCTACATCATTGGAGAATTACCACTTTTTCACTTTTACTACATCCACATTCATCCTGTGTCTTTTATATCCCAATTAAATTCTTTAAAATTTATCACTCTAGCCAGATACGGAGGGGCTTTCATTCATTTTATTGGTACATTTTAGGTATACAGTGCAGTTGCATTCATCACTGGGATCTTGCACCTTTACATGATGGATCTTGGTACTTATTTTTCCCCTTTCCCCTGCCCTCCCTTCACCACTCCAGGCTTCCTTACTTACAGATGCTTTGTTTCCATCTTTTCCTTTTGTCATGTGTCTTCCTTTCCCTTCTTGCCTCCAGATACAGAGTTTCATGACAGAAGTGATCTCCTTTGTAGAGGAAAAATGCAATCCCTTTGTTTTCCTTACCAGAGTCACCATTCTCTCCCGTTTGTCCCAGGTACTTACTGTTTACAACTAAGTTGGTCTTATTCTCGGCTGGTGGAGGATGAGGTGCACATTATCTGACAATCTGGGAGAATGGATGTCATGGTTTTCCTAACCTAGCCTGAAAGTGCTCATGGAAATTTTAAGCAGAGAGTGTGAGAAAGATTGTATCTGAATACCGAGAGAGAGAGAGAGAGAGAGAGAGAGAGAGAGAGAGAGAGAGAGAGAGACACAACCAGAAGATTCAAGGAGAAAAAAAAATGCTGCTTTTGAATTTTTTCTTTCTTTTTTTTATTATTTTAATGCATGCAACATTTCCTTTATTTCATGAGTGTGGGGAAATGAAGTCAAGATTTTAGCACTGAGGTCCATCCAGCCCAGCACCATTTTAATTTTTATTTATGTATTTTTGAGTGCAGGGTCTCACTAAGTCAGTGAATTGCCTGGGCTTGATTCTGTGCTCCTCCTGGCTCAACCTCCCAGACTACTGGAACTACAAGTCTGTGCCATTAGATCCAACTTTAAATGTTTTCCTAAATATAAAAAGAAACTCTTCATCTGAAGGATACTGCCCATTCTAAGTGTATATGGCCTAATTTCAACTGACTTGAGCAGATGATACCAACACGAGTATCAGAAAGTGGTGTGAGCATTTACCTTAGGAGCTAAAGTAGTGATACAGGAGTCATAGATAGATATTTTCTGTTGTATCTCCTGTACCAGTAACTGAGATGTAAGAGAATATAATACACATGCCTTTCTTATGTGGTCTTCTCTCTCTCATGATAGTGCAATGGTGCAGGCCAAGTAAACTCTCACATGATAATAAATAATCTTCTTTGGGACTTATTAGAATGACTCAGAAGTCTGGGATGCCCACGGGAGCACTTTGAGGCTAAAGTCACAGGATCGGCAATCGTCCCTTACACATCATGCCAGTGAAACGCGACTATAAGAAAAGTGTGTGCTCAGACTCTGGGCAGTGTCTCTCCTACGCCGACTCACTGGAGAGGGAAAGGCAACTCCAAGAAAATGCGGATCCTCCTGCTGGCTCTTGCTGTTGGCTTTGCTTGTGCAGATTCCCAAATCAATCCAGCAAGGGTAGGTGGGTAAGCAGGTTGTGAGTGAGGGCTTCATGTGTGTGCGTGTGTGTGTGTAAGTGTGTGTTTGTGTGTGTGTGTGTGCTTCTGACTTTATTTTCATTGCTGAGTTAGATAACATGAGCATTCTGTTCTATGTATAGCCATCTTCTTCAAAGGCTAGTTTGGTCTTCCAAATTTACTTGTTTCCTCTGCTTAGACTCTATATGTGATGCTTACAGGACCTAAGGGAAGGCTGTAAGTGTGCATGACCTAGATTTGATGCCTCAGAAACTTTGCAATTCCCCACATTATGTGGGAATCCTGTCCTTAGCCCTGCGCCCTAAATAGGTTCCTTCTGTGAGGACTCAAAACCTAGTGTCCATCAGTAGAAACAGGTTTAGATTTTACGCCTATGTTGAAGGGAGCACCACGATTTCGATGGCATTCCTGATAGAAAAAGAAAGCACAAAAACCAGAAGAAAGTGCGCTGACCTGCCCGGGGGGGTCGTTCCTTCGCAGATAAATGGGGAATGGCGCAGCATTGCCGAAGCCGCTGACAATGTGGAGAAGATCCAAGAGGGTGGACCACTGAGAGCCTATCTCAGATCACTGAACTGTTTCCAAGGATGCCGGAAGCTCTCTGTCAACTTTTATGTTAAGTAAGTACAATTCACCCTAATTTAAAGGAAAAAACAACTATTGCCCTGTGGCATACTAGCCAGGACAAAAGGAAATAAAAATGAAGTCAAATGAGAATTTCATTTGACTTCCCGATATGGAGTTGCCCCCATACCTGTACATAATTTGAGAATAAATACAGCTTTTGAATATGTTTCTACATCTTTACCTATATTGCTTGCCACTGGCCAAGGCCCCGGGTCTAAATATCTCCATTTCTATTAGGAGCTTTTGCTAATAGAAATTTCTTGAACAATAACTGTCCAGTGAATCAACAGACTTTGAAAAGTGAGTTACAGAGCACGGGCCGATTCAGTCTAACTGTCACCAGCAACATGGATAGAAAAGGCAGAGAAATGAATTTGAGGAGAGAAAGAGAAAGAGTTTTTGTGCAAACGACAGAGCAGCGATCCTGCTTGGGGTGGAGGATTGTGTGTTTCCAAAGCCCAACATCGAGTACAGTACGATTTGCATGCATTTCTGGCTGCCCCAGCTGGGGACAAGAGCTAAGGGACTGTAAGCCCAGCTCTGTTGGCAGAAAATTTGCACAGCAGAGGAAGCCTGGCTGACCTGGAAAGATCACCCAGCAACATGTGTGTATTCACAAAATGCAGCAAAATTCACAAAATGCCCCAGATCCGGCAAAGCTTCAGTCCCGTCACGAAGCTCCCGTCCAACGGAGGGTGTTAAATGTGTGTAACTCTGACGTCCTTTACTATCCTCCCGAAGTGAGGGGGGTTGATGAGGAAGCAGCACTGTGGTGTGGGTTTGTATTTCAGGCTTAACGAGGACTGGCGTGAGTTCTCCGTCTTGAGTGAGAAGAGACCGTCAGACGGAGTGTACACCGCAGTCTGTGAGTATCTGCTTTCCCGGATGACCTGGACTTTAGTGCACATTTACGGGTGTAGCTCAGTTGCGCATAGCCGGGCATCTAGACTCTGGCAAAACTCGGAGAAGAGACTGCGGAGTAGAATTTGGAAAAGCTTCTGTAAGCTTCGCCGCTCCCTCCGTGCCATACAAAGTGAGGACCTGGTCCAGGTCGTCCTAGAGGCAGCTCAGAACCTTCCAGGAAATGACAGCTGAGGGGGGTCGCGGCACACACGGAAGACGTGACTCAAACACGTGGTGAAGTGTGGGTTAAGGATGTGACACTTTATTGCGGTGGGGGCTCGGCCTGTCGGTGTGAGCTCCCGCGAGATTATCCCCGTCACTTCAAACACGCGAACCGCCAGGTCCTAGGGAGGGGCGTTCATCAAGCTCTTCACAGAAACATGTTGGGGAAACAGCACAGGGGCCTTGTGGGGCTGCTCTCGGAATTGGGAAGAAGTGAGCCCAGCAGAGCGAGATTTTTGAGGACTCAGGCAACGTGCACCTCCGTGCCATGAAGTTCTCAGGCCCTCACCAGGCTTTTGATGGCACCTTTTATGGGCTGGGGTTTGCATGCATAGAAAGCTAGTTAAAGCTTATTTAAATTTTCCAGCTCCTTTAATCATTTTTTTTTCTGACTTGGTAAATAGGATCACTTTTCTTTTCATATCAAACTTATTTACATATGAGAAAATGCTCATCTTATAAATAATTTAGGTGGTATAGTTTTCATTAAAGTAATTCCAGAAGGCAAGAGCTAAAACAATAGTTACAAACTGCACGTTTATTTCTCCATAGTTTGAACTTTAGGGAAAACCAACCAGGACAATAATGTTGTGTTCTCTGCACCTGTCTTTAATTAATTGTTAATACTCAATGCTGCAGTGTTAGAGAGATGCTACGTACTTCATTGCACAAAGGGAAGTGTACACTGCAGTTTTATGATCTCGGTTCAAGGAGATTTCTTATTCATATACATACGAATACATTGCCGAGAGACTGAAGTAAAGCACAGCGATCCAGCCTCCGGGTCGAGCATTTTCTGAGAAGTTTCCACACCACGATAGGACTGTCTAGCACACGAGAAAGTGGTATATTAAAAGCATGGGTTCTCTTTAAGGACAACATGGTCTATTTTAACTTCTGTCCTGGGGGTTATAGTAGCATGTTGGAGGGGCTGAATAGCTCAGTGACAAACCCCTGAGACTCTCATAACTGAACCGATGAACCGGTGAGGAAGGTCAGAGCCCTCCTCCTATCACCACCTCCTGATCCCACACCGGGAACTTTTCTATCGGGAATCACCGCATGCTCTGCTCTTATTTGTGAATTTCATGTCTTGGAAGTGTTCACCAGCCCCTTAAGCAAGTGAGATGTCAGATGTCTCCCTCCCTCCCTCACTGCCATACCTTGATTCTGATGTGTTGGAGGAAGGCTGGTGAAATAGATTTATTCATCACCACTGTGCCACAATTGCTTCCAGTCAATAGAAGTAGGGAAAGTGAATCATACCGAGCTGGAAATGTCTCTCTTTCACTTAACAGATTCCGGTCAGAACTTCTTCAACATTTCTTCACCAGACGATGGCATCACAGTATTTTCATCCACCAATGTGGATGAGAATGGCAGGAGAACACGCCTGTTGCTCCTTGGTGGTCAGTATGAAACCATTCTGTTTTTTTCCTGTAGAGCGGAAGAACACATTCATGTTGATGTCATCTCTCTTCTCAGTTTGGGGAGGGAAACAAGTCTGATGGTATTTAGATCAGTGCCCTAGCTCAGAAATGTATGCACTTGGCAGATTGCAATTCTCACCTTGTGGCTTTCAAGGAAGGTGAGAAGGTGGTGAGGAAAGCAATGCTGAGAAACTTACCCAGAGTGCCATGAAAGGGCCTTCCGAACAAGGTTCAGCAAAAAAACAGCAAAATTCTATACATGTGTGTATATTCTCAGGCATATAGGTGTTGTATAAATATCTTAACACTAATTGTACTGAGGCATCTGGAGGTTCCTACACGTGACCCTTTGCCCTCTACAATGACCAGAGCTGCTCACAGCGGTGGCCCTGAGCTCCCAAGCATCAGTCAGTACAGTGGACGGCTGCTTGGCTGACCCTGGTCGTGGAGATGGCTTCAGGTGCAGTTTCAATTCTTCTCTAAGGGCTGGCAATGTTTGCTGAGGTACACGATGTCCTCTAGGATGTCCGGTGTGAGGTTAACCCCTACTGTTAGAAAAACAGAATACTATTTTTATTTTCTTGAAGTGTGCATGTAGTGTTTGGTGGACACTTTCTCTATCCCCTACCCCCCCGCCTCTCTCTCTCTCAGAAGGGGCATGAAGCTATTACCAGCAAATGACCTTAGTATAATTGTTATCAAGAAACAACACTGAAATTGAAGTTCAGATTCCAGGAGGCACAACTGTGTTCTTCTGTACTTTAGACCTTTGCTTTATCACCATACTTCACCCGAGAACTGTAACACATTTCTCTGCATGAAAACAACTCTGGAAGATAGATGAACCGGAAACAGAGAGAAGGTCACATGGTTTCCCAGATTACCTATGTCTTTTTTATGAATAAATGTTATTAATCTCTATTAGTACACTTCAGATACACAATACTGTTACATTCATCATCATTGGGATCCTCTACATTGACGTGATGTATCTTGGTTCTTATTTTTCCCCATTCCCCTAGCTAACCTTCCTCCCCTTTCCTATTCACAAAGACTTTGTTTTCATTTTCTTCCTTTTCTCTAATTTTTTCTCTTTCCATTTTACCTTTGCCCTACCCCTCCCATTTGCTTTCCAAAATATTTGGATCTATGTGCTCTTTGGCTTATTTCACACTACCTGTATTTTTTAGTTCAATAAGAGGACAATTTGGTGCTAGTATCTGACTGTTTCTCCTTTGTATGGATCTTTTTTGCCAGTTTCAAAATGAGAATAACTTCTTTGAAGACAACAATATGAAGTATATGAACTGTTGTTACTCTGATTTTTTTTGGTACCCCGGATCGAACTCAGGACTTTGTGCTTGCAAGGCAGGCAGCTTAACCACCTAGCCAAATCCCCAGCCCATTTCTGTTATGTTTGTGGATTGTTTTCTATCTCTTTACAAAATAATGAAGCAAAAAAAAAAATTAAGTTACATCAGATTTAGTTCCTCAGTTTTCTCACATTTGAATGACTCTTGAACACTCAGAATTTCACTCAGGCAGCACAAAATCACTGGGCCATCCCTTGTTTTAGACCCCATTTCAGGTAGATAAGGGAGAATCTTGGTTTGAGAAGGGTGAAGGAGGCTTTGTATATCTGTTTTTCCGTTTCTTCGGAGCTAAGAGAGCAGGGAAGAATAAGCTGGGAGAAGTTGAATAGGTTTTCCGACCTCGATGGTTTAAGGTTCCAGAGTATCAGGGCAGGAATCAAGGACTAAGAGGATCATGTGAATTTATGGTCTGTGGGGTTTCCCAGCTTTTAGACAGAACCATCTGTAGGTCCTGGACATGGTTTTACTTTTCAAGATGGCGGTAAGATGTGGGCACCCGGATGTTCACGGAATGCGTGAACTCTGTGAGCCTGGGACGGAAAAGTTCACTTACGGCCTCCAGAACATTGAACCTCAGATTCCCCTGCTGGAGAGGAGGGAGGAGGGAGATGGTGGGGTTCCCTGCGTCACAGAGACACCGTGAGGCCCAGGGGATGCAACAGGAAACAGGGGGGAACCTACTGCACAAGTGTTCTGTTTTGTCTTCCTTGAAATACAGCGAGAAAAGACTCCCTGACCCAGGCTGAGGAAAGCAAATTTAGGCAGCTGGCTGTGGAAAATGGCATCCCGGAGGAAAACATAGTGAATCTGGCTGATTCAGGTAGGGTCACCCCACTGCCTCAAGATATGTCTGGAATGAAAACATAATCTGTACACTTGGTGGCGGAATTAGATCCATAAATATTCTATGCTAATTCAACAGTTATTACCAGTTTTAAACTATTTTCAATAAATTCAACACTGCTTTTTTGTCTTTTTTTCTTTTTCCGCTTCATATCTCACATAGACACCTACCCAAATTAAAGGCGTTGCTTGGGTGAGTAGAAACTTGATATTTATAACATGTGAGAGTTTCCTCTCTTTGGACATTTTCTTAAAATATTTATCATGTGTAGTAGGCAAATAACCCCCCTTTCAGTTATAACTTTTATCAGTGCATGTTTTTGAACCTTGAAAAAAGTATACCAATACAGGGAATATGATATTTCCCATGAGGCCCAAATGCATGATATTTAGAAAATTATGATTATTTCTGCAATGTAACGTACAATCAACCCCGGTGAACTCCAGGGTCCATAAGGAACCACACAGTTCCAAAATATTCGGTAACTCTAGATGTCCACATTTTTTTTTCTTTTCCATTCTCACAGGTGTCCAAAGGGGAGGAGTAGTAGAAATGTTAACTTCTCCAAGACACGCAAATCGCCAATAAGTAGCTGCATGGTGCTCTTCTTTGCAGTTGCCTTTTCTTCTCACCTCTGAGGCCAGGGACCTGTCCCACGGTGGCATCTAGACCTTGCCTAATCTCTCTTTACCATGTGTGCTTAAATAAACTGGTATTTCCATAAAAATACATACGTTTGAAGACAAGTATCCAATTTGTCATGCACAAAGATATCTTGTTGGGTTCTACTGTTTAAAAAAGCGAGTCTTTGATTGAACAGAAGATGATCTCATTAGAGTGAATGCATAACCCCTGGATGATGGTGGAGAAGGAGGAAACTGTGAAGTATATCAGGGTGGATTTGATTTTTAGAAAGCAGTGTCCCAGCCTATAAGGTGAGGGAACCCAGAGAAGAGATGTAGGTCAATCACTGAGAGCCCCAGAGGGCCTATCTGAGTAGAGAGAATCCAGAATTAAGGAGGCTCCCAGGAGCAGCCTTGGAGCTGAGAACTCTCCTACTTTTATTTAAGATACTATAGTAAATAAAAAACAAACAAACCAAAAAAAAAAAAATAACAAGCAGAAGGAAACAGTGCAGGCAAGAGGGTTTCTCAAAGTGAGGCAGTTTTTTTGGGGGAAGGGAGGAGGACAGCATCCACACACGAGAGGCCTCTCTAATGTAAACTTCTGATTGCTGAACCCTTCATTTCTTGTTAAGCCTGTGTGCTTTAGTTTTATTTATGTTTATTTTGGTCCCTTGGATTAAAGTCATGACCTCGCCCTTGCAAAGCTGGCAGAGGCACCACTGAGTAACATCCACGGCCCTCAAAACTGTGTGCTTTAGCCTCACTGTTTAACCATTCACCACCGGCCCGGTCCCCCCAATATTGTCCCCGGTTTTGTCTCAAAGAGTCAGAGATGTGGAAGAAGGGAGAAAGATAGTGTAGACAAGTGCTGGACTTTGATGCATTTGTCAGGTCAGTGGGCACAGGGCCTTGAGGACTGTGAGAAAAATCAACACAAAATAATTCCCATGATAAGAAGAACTGAAATATCAAATTTGATTGCAGAAAAGTCCGTTTGGGGGTGAATAGAGCAATATAGTTCCAGTGACGTTGTGAGCTCTCCTTTGTAAGTCGTGAAGCTGAGCTAGCAAACAGTGCTGCAGAAAAGTACTATCACCATGTAAAGGAAGGAGAAGGAGTTAGACTGCTTCTTGGCTGTCTACATGGAAACCTGGAACAGATGTGATCTCCACAGAATGGGATCCAGGGTCTCAACGAAATTGCCTGGATGCCCACAGAGCTGGTTGGGGCTTTGGAGACAGCCGAGTGTCTTCCCTTAAGAGTATCAGGTCACTCCATGAATTTTTCTTTTGTCAATGTTGGTCTGAGTTAGCATTTCAGAAGGAATGTTTTACAAATAGCTATTCGCAGTTTACACAGTTCCAGTGTGTTGCGTTAAGGTGAGTGCGGCTGCTGGAGCTGGAGCTCTCTCCTCATGAATGTCCAAAAAACCTTTTTTGTCTGATAAGTTTAATCATGGAAGTAATTTGTTCAAGGGATTTGTAGTGTTGTGCCCACGTCGCAAAGTCCCCAAAGACCACCAAGGAGTCAGGTCCGATGCAATTACAAGAGGACTTTATTGCAGCTCGAGCCTGGACCCTCGGGTGTCACCGTCACAGCGGCTTCAGACCGAGAGCCCAGACCCATCTTTGAATCAGGATTATACTGGGTTGGAAAGAGATACTATTTTTGTCTTTCGCTTACTCTTGGATATTTGAGGGGTGCTGGGAGGGCACTTACAGAAAATTACTGGTACCTACATTCACAGAATCAGTTCCTCTTTCAAAAGAACATTTGATTAATCCACTTCTATTCTTAATAGAACATGTGATTATCTCAAGCTGACTAATGCCATGATCCGTTCCTATTGATTATCCTAAGCAGGGATAAGCAGAAAGGATTCATGTTTAGACTTTTAGATCAGAAGAAGAGGAACAGAAACACAGGGTGGAGGCCTAAGACAGGGCTGCCTAAAAAGAGGAAGACAAACACAGGGAGACTGTCATACAGAATGGAATTATAGAGAATGGAGATTTTGGATCTCCGTTCTGGGCAAGGGGCACAGAGCAAGCCCACCGACCTGAAAACTTGGTCCTTATATTCCCCCCTTCTCAAGGACCTTTGGGACCCAATCATTGGAATTAGGGCATCATCCTTGTAAAAGCACTTCCTGCTGATCGGGCCGTCGTGGAACCTAAAAAAAATGGGGCAAGGGTCCTCTAGGTCCTCGAGACCAGGGTTGGGTCCTGTATCATCTGTGTTGGTGGTATTTTTGATGTGCCCCGAGTTCTCCTTTTACTTTGGATCTGGCATCCTGTAGGAGCTCTTTTGTTGCTAATTCTTGGCATTCAGAATTGAGAGCCATTTCAGGTCTGCTGGTGGGATCTTTTTTTTTTTTTTTATTTTTGATGGTCCTGAAAAACTTGTCTACTTTTAGAGTGCTTGGGCTGAATGCATGTCCAGGCCTTAGAAAGAGAAAGACGGAGGATTGCATAGAAAGTGGACATTATAATTCTTCCTGGACACTTGAGATTTCTTAATCTTCAGGCAGAGGCTGATATTGTTGTCTCAGTATAATTAATTGTACAGAACTTGTTTCCTGCCTAATAAAAGCAATTAACTTATTAATTATATAAAATCCTACTACAAGGAAAATTAGACCTAAAATTAGAGATCTGGCAAGGACTGAAAACAAAGAAGGTTAGCGAGGGGAATGTGAATCAACTCTCATGCCATCCTTGGTTTTGTATCCTCTCCTTTTTGTCTTTTTCTGGTCCTTTCTTGCTTTTAGCCATAGAATCTCTGATTATTTCTGAATAATCAGTATCCGGGGGGGCGGTGCCTGTGACTGAAAAGACCCTTCTTTCTTTGATTGTATTCTAGCTCCTGGACTATACAGCATATCAGTCTTTTTCTTTTCTTTTGTTTTGTAGTGGAGTTAAAACTGGAGTCTGTAGGTTGAAAAATAGGTTCAGATCGATAGACTAAGACTGAGCTCAGACCAATGGCTGAGGGGGCCCATTAGTATCCCTAAGCTGTTCTTCATATTGTCTAATAGTAAAAAGGACTCCTTGGTCAAAGCCTGATTGGTATAACTGTAATCCCCAATATCGTCCAGCTTTCCAGCTAGGCAATTGTTTTCCAAGTGCAGTGAAGGACACCCAGATGGGGTTGGGCAGAAAAGAGGAGCATCGCCCATAGATGGAATTAGAAGCTAGTCAGGCCTGAGGTACCCTAGTGACTACTATCAAATCATCTTTTACAGGGCGGGGGGTCCAATAGATCGTCCCAGTGGATTCACATCCCCATTGTTGGCAATAAAATGCTCAGTTCCCCCACACTTTTTTATCTGTTGTCAGGACCTTCTGCCTCCTGGGCAAACATAGAAGGACATGTTGTGAAGCTCTGCTCTAACCATTAGGTGCCCACATCTTGGTTTTTCTCTCCTCGGGGGGAGGGTGCATCTCTTTCCTGTGTCACCACATTCGGGCCTTTCCTGGGAATCGAGATCCCAATTGCCGACATCCCAGGTCCCTATGCCCAACTTACATAAATCAAATTCGATATCTGGCCACCAAGTCCCCCGGGGGGGCCCACGGGAAGTAGTATTTATAATCTTTCCTGTGGAGGCATTAATCATCATCCAGGTGATATTTTGGGGTTCATGGGGAATGACAGAGTGGCTCTTTGCCACCACTTGGAAAATGAATACCATTAATAGACCAAGAATTTTTAAGCCCTGAAACTATTGCAAAAGATCCAATATTCAATTAAAAGACTATAGTAATTTTAAACCAAGAACATCTAATATAGGTTGATGGAGTCGCTGCTCCTAGCCCTGTTTATCCCATATCAGGGAGGACTACTTTAATTAAGAAAACTGGGATTTTACAATTCTTAGCTTCAGTGGGTATCAGTGGGTTATCAGGATCCTTAATTGATCTCCAAGGACTCGGAGGCTGAGGGGTCAGCCGAGGGTTGGCATCCTTTTTCACATGGGAATGATGAATCTAAGCAGTAATCCCCTCCACCGTGATGGCTGTGGGGGTGGACAGTAATACAACATCAAAGGGGAGGAGCGACTCCCAGTTATCGCCAGTTTCCAAGGTTAATTTAGTAAAGATCTCTTTAAGGGTTTATTCATCCTTTCTATTTCTCTTGAACTTTGGGGTTGATATGCACAACACCTTTTTGGCTCACATGCCTATCTTAGCATTGCCATTTGTTATTATCTCTTTTCTTTTAGAATTGTTATAGCTATTTTATCAGATTTCCACATTGCCTTAAATAACTATATTATAATTTTTAATAAATTTGTCCTCTGCTGTGAGAAGATGACACCCGTATAGACCATGCCATAGATATACTAAGTGGGACTCTTTATAAACATTTATCCTCTTTTTCTTTTGCCCATCAGAGAGCCTGTATGAGTGACCATAGCTCTGCTCCTTGAGCTGACCATCCAGTGGGGAGGGATCCTGCGTGGACCATTTTATCTTGAGTCATCTCTGCATAGTCAGCATAGCACACCCCATTTTCCATGAAGTTGTTCTCATCCTTGAACAGGATGAAATCAACCTCAGGCAGCGGGTCTTTCTGCAGATCTAGATGACTGGAGAACAATTCGTCAGTGACCCCTAGGCAGTTGTAATCAGGGGTCCAGGTTCTGAGGGCAAAAAGTAGCGGGGTTTCAGGTTTTAACTGGAACAAAATATAGGCAGAGATTCTCACAGATGAGGGCCTGATATTATGTGATTCTATTATTTGAGAGTCATCACTGTCCTGTTACTCAATAGTTTTAAAAGGCATGAAGAAACCAAACAATTAATTTTTCCTAAGGTTAAGCAAAGAGCTATCTCTTTACAGCTGGATCTAAACTTTAAGATAAATATATCACTGCCTAATTTTTATGGGTGCATTACTTTAATGAGCACCCCTAAAGCAATATGAATTCGTTTTCAATCAGATACAAACTAAAAGGCTGGATCACATTTAGCATCCCTTATTACAGGGGCAGCATAATTAGTTTTGGCTATAAAATGCTGATTCTTGTTCTTTATCCTATAA